CAGACTCTATAAATAGATCCTTATGCCCTTGATGGGAGGAGGACTTAGACTTTGAACCTGAGGAAGCTCGGGACTAGGAGGAGAAGGAACTGATGTCCAGTGTTCCGCACTGAGGTCCGGTGAATGTCATCTGCTTCTGCGATTACAGGCCCCATCAACCACGTTTAGTCATCCCCTACTCATCACAACAAAAGCCCATGCGAAATCAAGACATGTGTTGCGTAGTAACAAAGCACCGTGCGAGGGTAATGACCAACCATGTGAAGTAACGAAACATCATATGGAGCAACACATTCCAGATACATTGTAGCGTTGCACCCTTCATATGGTGCAATGACACCTTTCGACGATGTTGTAATAATGCACTCCAAAGACGTATAACAATTTGTCAAAAATGGTGCAACACGCATCACACTTACAATATAGCAACACACCTAAAAAATAGTGTGGTGATGCACCCCGAAGAATGTAACAACTCACCATGAATACGGTGCAGTGATATTTCCCACACGCGGTGTAATAATGTCTCTAGAAAATGGTGTAACAACGTTCCCCACAATAACTTCTTACAATTGATGCACTAAAGATATGATGACTTTCTTTGGACTCCCAAAGCTATCTCATTGCGGCCCTACATGGTTGACATCTAGGAGTATAAATGAGTCAAGTCAAGCTCGAACCACCCTCATTTTAAGCTTGACCTTGATTAATTTTATCGAATTCGAGTTCTAGCTTGAGCTCAAAATTAAGTTTATGAGTTCATGTTGACAGCTCACAAGTCCACTTGTTTATTATAAAAGAGAGAAAATCATATTAATATAAGATAGTATTATAATTAAATGATAAATAAACTGATTACTTAATATAAAATATAAACTATTTTTTTAAACATTTTTAATACTTTAAAAATAAAGTCTTCAAATTTAATATATTTTGAGTACATTTTGTATCAGTATTATTTAAATCAACATGTTCACGGGATAACATGTCAAATAAGTGCTAGCTGGAGTTTAGTTTGTTAGTCTATCGAGCTCAGTTCATGAGCCACTTATCGAGCAGAGCTCGAGTGAGCTCACGAGTCAGATCAAATCACTTACACCTCTATTTACAGCTCTTGCAGCTCCCAACTCTAACATCTGTAGCCTATAGATTTTGTTATGGCTTGTCAGCTCCCAACTCTGTCCTATGTGGTTTACAGATGTTATCACAGGTATTGCAGTTCCCAATCCCGGTCTCTATGATCAACAAACATTATTGTAGCTCACCACTATGATCTACATGACCAACTAAGACTTGTGTGGTCCATTGCTCAAACAGATCCAACTTCAGTTTTTGCGATCTATAGACATTATCACAACTAGTGTAGCTCCCAACTCCAACTTATTTGTCCAACAGATGTTATCACTCCTCGTGCAACTCCCATCTATGACCTTTGTGGCCTACGAATGTTATCACAACTCACACAGCTCTCAACTCTGAGTTTTGTGGCCAAGAAACGTTGTCGCAACTTATGCAAATCCCAAATTCGGTCTCTGCGGTCTATGTATATTAAATCCGCTCTCCACTACGACCTACGTGATCAAATACAACTTTACGGCTAGTCACAACTATTATTGCCAAATTATCATTGTTCATTAACTTGTAATTCCATCTTCCCTAACTTAGGAGAACAGTTGGGCTATGCAGACGCTATTATATAATGAATTATTTCAACTAGGCTAAGCCCCATGATTTTTCCCCTATCCAAAGTTTTACACATAGAAAATTCCGGTAATTCTACCTATCACTTTAATTAACTGAGTCTGTGCTGGGTTTTTATGCAACTTTTAAAAAATAACTAATTATTCTAAGATGTCAAACAATTATTCTACCATCGTGAATCTTCTGACATACATTAATTATAAATAACCAAAAAATATTTAATTACTTCCCAAGAGAATAGTTGGGCTGTGCAGACACTATTACATAATGAATTATTTCAACTAGGCTAAGCCCCATGATTTTTCCCCTATCCAAAGTTTTACACATAGAAAATTCCGGTAATTCTACCTATCACTTTAATTACCTGAGTCTGTGCTGGGTTTTTATGCAACTTTAAAAAAATAACTAATTATTCTAAGATGCCAAATAATTATTCTACCACTGTGAATCTTCTGACACACATTAATTATAAATAACCAAAAAATATTTAATTACTTCCCAAGAGAAGTCATTTAGCTTGAGCATTAAGATTATAGGAGTTCGTCTAAAAAGTTCTTGAAAAGAAATTTATGCTTAACAAGAGTGTAGTTTCCATGATTATTGATTGATGGATAATGATAAAATGATAATGGATAAATAACCTTGTAGAAAAATGAGGGATAAAAATCCCTTTAAAGGATATTAGAATGAGTGTGATTAATTTTAATGTTAACGAGTATCAATTTTTTTATTAAACAAAGTGAAAGAGAGATGAATACTTAGAATAAAAATCAATCCCATCTAAAAGATATAATCATTTACACCTCTATTTATAGCTATTGCAGCTCCCAACTCTAACATCTGCAGCTTATAGATTTTGTCATGGCTTGTGCAGCTCTCAATTCTGTCCTATGTTGCCTATAGATGTTATCACAGGTCTTACAACTTTCAACTTTGGTCTCTGTGACCTACATACATTATTATAGCTTATGCAGCTCCCAACCCTGGCTTCTATGATCAACAAACATTATTACAACTAACCACTACGACCTAGATGACCAACTACGATCTGCGTGGTCCATAGCTCAAGCAGATCCAATTTCAGTTTTTGCAATCTATGGACATTATCACAACTAGTGTAGCTCCCAACTCCAACTTATGTGTCCAACAGATGTTATCACAGCTCGTGCAACTCCCATCTATGACTTTTGTGGCCTACGAATGTTATCAAAGCTCACGCAGATCTCAACTCTGACTTTTGTGGCCTAGAAACGTTATCACAACTCACACAGATCCCAAATTCGGTCTCTGTGGTCTACATATATTAAATCAGCTCTCCACTACGGCATACGTGATCAAATACAACTTTACGACTAGTTATAACTATTATTGCCAAATTATTATTGTTCATTAACTTGTAATTTCATCTTCCCTAACTTAGGAGAACAGTTGGGTTGTGCAGGCATTATTACATAATGAATTATTTCAACTGGGCTAAGCCCCATGATTTTTTCCCCTATCCAGAGTTTACACGTAGAAAATTCCGGTGATTCTACCTATCACTTTAATTACCTGAGTGTATACTGGATTCTTATGCAACTTTAAAGCAATAACTAATTATTCTACTACCGTGAATCTTCTGACATACATGATTATTACTTACCAAGAAAAGTCATTTAGCTTGAGCGTTAACTTGAAAAGAAATTTGTGCTTAACAAGAGTGTAGTTTCCATGATTATTGATTATTGGATAATGATAAAATCATAAAGGATAAATAACTTTGTAGAAAGATGAGGGATAAAAATCCATCTAAAGGATATTAGAATGAGTGCGATTAATTTTAATGTTAACTAGTATCAATTTTTTTATTAAACCAAGTGAAAGAGAGATGAATACTTAGAATACAAATCAATCCCATCTAAATAAGAAGGAATTCAGGTTAATTGACCAAATACCAATCAACTACTGCTAATATAATGACATATTGTTTGTAAATACTTTTAAATGTTATTGATGCAAAGAGGATCATTGTTCGCAACAAATGAATGTGAACAAGAATCAAATAGATCCATGGAAAAGAACCTCTACATCAATGAGTTAAGAGGTAACTATTGAGGTTGTAAATGCAATCCTTAAACATGTTCTATTTGAACTAAATCCTTCCATTGGGATAGCGCCAATGTTTTTGCAATAATTTTAATTATTTCAAATAGACATTCTTCTATTAAGAAATGAATCGAAGTAAGCTTCCATGCTCACATTAGCCTCAAGATGACATATCAACTTAGTGTGGATACCTTGGACAATTTTCTACAATCTATAATACAATCTTTTGCTTGAAGACCCCATACATTATAAAGATGCAATGATAAGAAAGACAAAAAGGTGAACGTTTATTTTGTTATTAATTTTAGTTAGATATAGAACTAAATCAAGTATTTTTAGATGAAAGTTTAATACACTTCTCTTGACTGAGTCTAACTTGTGAATTTGTAGAGTTTGCTTTTACTCTTGTTAACTGGGAATACTCTAGAGAACTATGATGAGGGTGATCATTTAAACTTTATGGACTTTTTTGAAAGATGACATTATCAGTCTATTACTAATAACATGCATGTCTAACCTACTAATTAGTACCATTAAAAATAGAAGAATATGTGTTTTTGTTTTCAGCAAAAGTTATTTTGGTATTAATCCTGGGATGATTGTTGGAGGATTTAGATTGTCTTTTAGAGGGAGCTCTGCTTATATTTCTTCCTCTAGGGGAAAAACTTAGTGCATGGAGGTGTGTGTTTGGGCAAAATTGGTTGTTATAAGCAAAAGTAATACAATAACAACAAACTTGGGTTTATAGCCATATAAGATTTCTTAATTGATTCTTCTTTTTTGCATGAAGCATTATAAGAATATTATTAGAAAGCGAAAAGTATGATTTAACTTGAACACAACCTCTAACAATTGTTAACATATATATGGTATTGAACAAATTATTGGAAACCAAGGGAATATCTATTTTTTTAGCTTTTTTAGGAAGCTCGTAATTCATTTTTGTATCATAGTGGTAAGAGAATCTTGCAGGGAATAAGCAACATCACATTGTTCTCAAGTGTATATGCACATACCTTAAAGCAATATCAACACCAGATTTTATAGAAACTAACACTTAAATCTCATGGATCACTGTTATACTAAAGGACTCTAATCACTTATAGCATAAAATTCCAAGAAAAAATTATAAATTTGGGTTCTTTCTCAAAAAGTAAGAATTATAACCCAATTCCAAACTCTACTTGATAAACACTCAAGTTTCAAGAACAAGCCTACTTACATAAACATGTAGAAATTGAAAAAAAAAAAAAAAAACACATGAAATATATAAAAACCTATGCAACAACTAATCTTAACAAGAAAGACTATTGAAATTAGCCTTTTCACCTGACTATTAGACTCTATAGTATTTTTTAGAACTCTTTTTTCCTTTAAGATTACTGCTTCTAAAAATATTCCAATCGAGTAAACAATCAAGAAGAAGCCTTTTTTTTTTCATTTTAAAAAGATTTAGAAGCACACGCCATGATAAGTGGGAGTGATTATATTTTCTCCACCAATGCTTCCAGTGGCGCGGGAAGGGATGCTAGCCTTCTTCTTTGAAATCGAGGTGGGAGATTCTTTATGTACCTCTTTGGGCCTATAGTCCATGGCAAGAACACTCCAGTGCCGCCACGCCCAAATCTTCTCTCTTGGCTCATAACCATTGGCCTTGGTGGTGCTAACATGAACATAGGATCTCGAAGAGAAAGACCCCATGTTGGCACCATAGCATGTGGTCCATAAGCAATAGGACTTATTTCTGGCTCTCTTGCTGGCTGTGGTGGTTGCCATAAAGTAATGGCATTTGATTGTTGAGAGATAGGAGAAGATAGATCGACCTGGTTGGTAGGAGTCCGAACTTTTAAAAACGAGATGGTTACTCTTTTGTTAGAAGATGGGCATACGACATGCCTTGCCATATCTGCACTGTTACCACGCATTACCAAGAGTGATCTGAAGAAGGATAGTTAGTGAGTATTGACTATAAAATTTAATTTTTAATTATAGTTTGGTAGCCAATAATTATTTAAATATAACTTCCATACCCTTTTACGACTGAGAGTGTAAGGGATCCTTTATAAGCTCCATTTTGATCACTCGAGAGTATTCGACCAAATGCTATGCTTGTCTCAGAGAGATACAACGTGGAGATGGGATTTTCTAAATGTGGAGGTTTGAAGTAGGGGTGTGAGTGATCATCCTGTAAAAATAAATAAATTTTATCTTACATTATTAATAATAGGCTCAGACTTAAATACTAACTATCAGTACCTCATCAAAGAAATAGATGAGGCAACAATTAGGCCTTTTACTTTCTGGTATTAAGTGCCACTGAGTCAGATGATCTATTACAGACAGAAGAATTGAAGGAATAGGCTCAATGCTACCTGCAAAGCAACAAAGTGCTATGTGAAGCATAAACTGGCAAAGTTGGAAAAAAAAACCATGTGATTTACTATTTAAAAAATAAATTTAAGGTGGACACGATAAATATGAATTTGTAGTTTAAATGATAGTTATAAATGGCTAATTTTAAGAAACATAAATTTTATTAATTGTGCAAAAGAAAAATATGCTTCATTACAACCTTCCATGTAGAAAAATCCAATCATCATGATAATACAGTTGGAATACCAAAAAGATTCATGGACAGTTGTACTTTAAAAATTTATTTTTTGAAGTTATTTAGAAGTGGTTTTGATCAAAGTTTGAAAACCAGCCGAGCATTGAATTGGTAGTAGGACAGGTTCAAGGTTCAAAGGTTGAACTGGGGTTCACCCAGAAAACCTAATAAATATTTTGATCAAAGTTTGAAAACCAGCCGAGCATTGAACTGGTAGTAGGACAGGTTCAATGTTCAAAGGTTGAACTGGGGTTCACCCAGAAAATCTAATAAATCATAAATATATTTAAAAATTACAATAGATAAATTTACATAATACTCAATTCCTATGTATTTAAATAACTAACACTTAAAATTCAATTTTAACATGTAATTTTATCTACGCATGAAAACTTGCATTTCATTTTTCAAATATAGTGATTTTTTATATGATATAGATGATTTTGGTGGTATAATTATAAGAAAATAGAGTTTAGATGTTAGAAATGTAAATAAATAAAATTGGGTGTCATGTATATAAATTGAATTTCTTTGTAATAGAAATTTTTTATGATGTGTTATGAGTGATTTGGGTGGTATAAATATAAAAAAAATACATTTCCGGTTTTCGGGTCAAACCGGCCGGTTTTGGTCGGTTCCAAGCAGGTTCAAACCGGTTCAATTTGGTTCGATGAGGGGGGCGGTTTTTAAGCCAACCTGAATCAGACCACCGGTCGGTTCACAGTTCAATTGATCGAACCGGCCAGTTCAGTCCAATTTTCTTAACAAAGGTTTAGATATTCTAATGATCAAGTGGAGATTTAATCTTTTCAATGCAAACATCGGTTAGCCATTTACTTGTTGCCTCCTCATTTTTTGGTTGAAATAATGGAATGCCAAGTTGAACAATCTCTCTCTTGTTTCCCTTCATCTGCTTGTTGAAGAAAATAAATGTTTCACCTGAAATATTGGGAAGGAAATATACTACAGATTAATAATGATAATCTCAAAATAGCACAATAAAAATAATTATACTTTATTATTTCATTTTCTTTGTTCTTTATGAAACATAAACACTTTTTCTACAATCAGGCCTTTTTTTCTCTCAATAAAATAGCAGTTGTAGCATGAAAAGATTAAAAGCAATCGCAGTATAGTGAGAGCATCAAAGCAAAAATAGAATTTGAAATATCATAATAAGTTAGGTTTTAACTTGAGGAAACTAAATGAAAAAATGATTAATTTCATATTGTAAGATATATTTTGCTTGATTTATGCAGAAAATTAAGATACAAACACATTGATAACTAAGTTTGCCAATAGCATAGGAGTATATATGACACCAAGAGTTACGTGCTTCATCTGTATGTGGCTCAAGGTACTTCTTTTATGTCATAAATGATGAAAATTAGTGATTTGAGAATGACCCAACATATTATTTTAAAATGTTAGAAAATTTTCATTGAATCACAGTATTTTAGTTTAGTTTTAGTATCAATCAGGAAACTTTTGGATCAAATAATTACATCTCTACTGTCATGTTATTACTATTCAATGAAGAGAGACATTACATCATGCTAATAAGAAACTAACTTTTTGTTATTCTACATTACATAATTTCATGAATAAGCAGCTCTTTATAAGCGATCAAATCTAATCACACTAAATTTTTTATGATATGGAACAATTATAATTTTAAATCAATTTAAAACATTATTTTTAAGGCCTACTAGTAATTCTAGTAATGCATAATCAATTAGCATGCGCTATTATGAAGCACATTTAGCTATTATTTCCTTACTACATCTGGTCATACATCAACAAGGAATTATTTAGGAAGTTAAGATAATTTACACATTGAAACATAAAAGAAAATCCTGTAATATTAATGATATGAGAAGCTAAATTTAGAGAGATTATGAAGTTATTGAAACAAGTCTCAATAATGTTAAGGTTGCATACTTTCAAGCCTTAACAAAACAAAAACTTGACAGCAATATTGAAGAGGGATTTACCGTCAATAATTATTAAACATAATAAATGTACTACATTAAAGGAGTTATATTTATGAATCATAACACTTGTCTATTATTTTCTAGCATTTTTTTTATAGTTAGAAGAATGATAGAATGAAATGCATTTTAACAATAATAACCCAAAATTATGAAGAAAAATGATTGTTTCTCTGAATCAAGCTACTTTTAATTATGAGCGAGTGGCCCCATTACAATTCTTAAGAAGATTAAAGCAAGGCGAATACAACCTCCAAGAGTTAGGATAAACTTAATAATGTCGATGATGAGAATAAAAAAAAAATTAGATAGAAAAGGTCTAACAATATAATAATACTCCAGGCATTTGGATCATGCATGTAAGACTTGGGTAGAAGTAAATATATGTCTAATTTCTTAAAAGTTTTGAGTATTAAAAAAATATGTACTCAAGGTTGATTACTAACTAGATGAGAAATTAGTTATCAATTCTAGCGTCATAGCATCGATTGGATCACTTCAACAATAAAATAAAGGTAATAGAGACATAAAAACCTTCAAATAATTTACAGTATTAATAAAATTCTAAAATTCAAATATAGGTGATAATGATGAGCATAAAATATCACTCAATTAATCTTTTTATTAAATTACTTCATTTCAAAAGAAACATTAAGATTTTAAGGAAGCTTAATGCCATATAGGATGAAAAATAGACCACATTTGTGTGGAAAGTAGAGAAATATCTACAAAGCTAGACTTTATATTTAAGCAATGAAATTAAGGTAAGGACAAAAGAGTGAATTTTGTTAATAATTTTTACTATTTTTTAAATTCCATATATCATTTACTCTTTAAGAAATTTAAAAGATCATAATCATGTGCAAGAAAATATATGCCGGCATAAAAGTGTTTGCAAAATATATTTTTTTGGACCTTCTGAATATAACTACACAACTTCACAAACCCAAAGTAACTAGTTTGTGTATTTCCTAATTTTTTGAGTAGAGCACGATTGTTTATTAGGATTTCAAGCAACTGAAGGGTTCCAATCCAAATACGATTACATTAAAGATTAATGTTCATATTACTTTTTTTTATTGGCCATAAAGATGCTTACAAAATATATTCAAAGAGAGGGTATTAGTATATAATACTTGTAGTTGAATAGTACAGACATTTAAAACCTTTTTTAAGTAATTGACCTGTAAGAGAAATGAAGAAAACTTTCAGAAAACAAGGTAGCTACAATTCATAATGAAAATATTATTTTTATGACAACAATTTATTGGATGTAAAGTAAATAAATATACATCAATATTTCTAAAGGTTCACATAAAATTTATGCATTAATGGTTTAAGTACATGAACAAACTAAAAAATATTGGAATATGGTTAAGAAAATAACTTATTGTATTAAATTTTAGTTTTTAAAATCAAGAAGTCTGTTAAAAATGTTACAAGAAAAAAAAGAATATCATAGAGTATTAATAGAGGATTTTGTAAATGTAATTAGATCAAATATGTTTTATGTATGACAATTTTCAGAAACAAATGTCATTGACAAGCAAACTAAATTTAGCAAATAATAAATATGATCATATTGGATAGACAATCAGAGTAACACTTGCTACACCGAGGAAGTAGAAGTATCACTGAGAAAGAAAATGGTGTGGTATAAATGATCACAAAAAGTGATAAAAATACAACATCAAGAAAAATAAGATTTAGAAGATAACTTCAACCAAACCTACATTTATGGGACAAAATAGAATTTAATTAATTGATGACAAATAGAAGTCACAATCATGATGTTCACAATAAGAGTGTTTATCATTCTTTCCAAATTCCAAATATAATCACACAAAAATAAGAAAAAAAATCTAAAGAATTACCCCAAAAAAATTTCTCACAAAGAAATTTCTGTCCTCTCGTATGCACCACTAAAGCCACCAATCATTCAAAAACCCAAGATAAAAATAAGTAGGCAAAAATCACGAGAGATCATTTCAATTGCAGGATATTCACCCTAGATCAAATGCACAATATTTATACAATCAAGTGCATTCAAAGAAGGAATATGCAAAATCTCAAAAAGGAAGTGAGGTCATCGAACTTTGGCTTAAACCCTGGGGCATCTTACAACTCCTAAGATGTACTTCCAAAAGACAAAATTATTTGATGCAATTGCCCTTATCACAGGTGATTCCAAATGACAAGAATCATAAAGTAGTATAATTAATGATTAGTTGTCATTTTTCAATCTTAATATGTGATCTCGATCATCTATTGAGATCAAATCTTAGATAGTAATATTAAGAATTTATTGAGTCAAAAGTAGTAATTATCTTTCTCGACTCAATAATATCTAATAAACTAGATATCCTTTGTCAGTTTCTCTGTAAATTAAGCATTCTAAGCTCTAAAATACCAAGAAGGTCATGATATCACACAATCTCATCAAACCCAAATATCACCTAATCTGAAAAAGTGTGGAAGACCTTTGTAGCATAAATATTACACTTTGATGTGGTATCACTAAACTTGGATGTGCACCTATAATTGAATTTTCATATCTCTAAAGTTTATTCTCTCTTTAATTTAATAAGACTTGACCTAAAAATGAAATAAATGGCATAAGCCATCCGATCACTTAAAATCTTCTTCTTGAACTAAATGTAAAAAGTGTTTTTTTTTAATATCAGCAAGCTAACTTTATGCTGTTTTTTTTTCTAAAATACAATGATTTGATATAAGCAAAGATATGAATGAAGCAACTCTTTAATTATCTTCCTTTTTATAATACATAACTTTTTGACTCCTTTTGATGCAATGACAACCATTTGAAATCATACATCTTAAGAATCATAACATCTACAAAAAAAAAAAAAATTATTATACACCATTTTAAATATCCAATATACAAAATTCACTCTAACATCAAGTACATACCTCACAACAACAAAAGCATTAAATATGCACAATTTATACAAATACACATGTCAAGACTAAGAACCATACATACATTATTATTTCACATATACATATTTTTATTATATGATGTATGGTTAAAAAATCATGACCTATCAGAAATGAGGAAACATAATAGGTACAAAAATACTAATCGTTAAGCTTATAACTTATAGTAAAAAAAAAGGACATCATCATATTATATATAAAACTTGTTTACATCTGCTATCTTATTATCCCCATATTAGTTTTTATCGACTTGTTGCTCTTTTCTTCCAATTCATATTATGTTTATTAACGTATCATTACCTCTTTTGATAGAAATAAATCTAATTATTTTCATGAAATTTTCTTTTATAAGCAAAATATTTCTCCATTAATCTCTTCCTCATGAACAATCTATTGCCCTGCGTTTCTTTATTAACACCATCAAGCTTAAAATCCTATTTTCAAGACAAAAGTTAGTTGTTCACATTCTTTAAGCTTATAATATATCTCTCATAAAAAAAATGTAGCCATGAAATCTCTTATAAGAGGGAGTTAGGAAGTACAATAAATAAAACTTGATAACCATTCACCCATGATAGCATTAATGTTATAAAAACAACCATAATTAAACTAAACAAATCATCTGTAACTTGATTATGCAACTTCCTACATATAATAACTTTATAATTTGCTTTTAATAGCTTATCAGAGAGGTATATTGCTATGAAAAATGACTTTAGATTGAAAAATTAATATTTTGAAGTTGTCTCTTATACAACTTACATCAAGTTCATATTTGTCAATCATATATAACTAGACCACCTTAAATACTTTTTCAACCATATCCACCTTTTCTTCTTTACTAACCACTAATGGCATATTCAAATGGGTCATAAGTGTTTTTATAAAACCTTGTAGCATATAAATACGAAGCATACTTGTCATTCAAAGGATAAAACTCTTCTAATTGCTTAATCTCAAATTTTTATGGCCATTATAGTAATAACCTAGTTTTAATATCACTATATTGATATAAGAGTGTCAAATTATTTAAAAGTGGGAACATCACCAAGAATGAATACATTATGTAACAAGTAATAATAATAATAATAATAATAATAATAATAATAATAATAATAATAATAATATATTTATGCACACACACACAAATACACACACAAATACATACATACATACATACAAGCACAAACTTTATGTAATTTAGCATCAATTATGTATTTTATTACGAAAAAGTAAGAACGAACTGAGCCATCACTAATAAGTGGAAACTATAGTCATAATGTACAAAATAAAAATACTTATTACCCTTACCAATTTGAATGTACATCTACACAAAAGGAAGAAGGCAACAAATGAATTTGATGTAAAATAATCAACATACAAAGATATCTCATTCTCCTATGAACCATTAAAGCAATTAATCCCCAAGGAACACCATATCTAAATTAATATGTACAAAACTAAGAAAAATCTTAAATTGCTTGTTATTCGTGTAGATCAAACTCGCCAATAAATAGCCACTTGCAAGCATTCCATGAAAAAATATCACACGTAAATCAAGAAATGAAGAAAAGTCATATGACTTAATGAAAATCACAAAATATCAAAGTGTTCTCAAGGCGTAAATCTCGAGGTAGTGAATACCAAGATGCTAATATTTCTTGAAATTCCAAGTGGCAGGAATCCTTGTTTAATCTATTTCCTAATCAATTATGCTCTTCAAATTTTATTGTGAGAACTTGATTATTTGATGCAACTCAACTATAGAAGGGAATATTACAAGTTTATTGATAACTATAGTTAAAGATTAGGTTATGAAAGTCATATTATGTAGTTTGAGCATGTTCAAAATAGAGCAACTATTATCTTTTAGATGAGTACATATATTTGATGCAAAAGAATTGAGAAGGCAAAATGAGTAGACAAGAAGTAGTATGGGTATAACTTTTGAAAAATATGTACAAAAGAGAACTAGTAACTCGTATAATATATGATTGAAACTTCATTAACATTCAATTAGAATTAACAGTGATAGATTCATAGAATCAACCATATATAGTTAAAATAAAGGTAATGATGAAAATGAAGATTATGATGATGATTATTTTAAGTTTTAGGTCCTAAGCTCTGATAATATGATCAATTCATCATCTACGCTAAGCCTGTTAATTCTAGTAATAGTTACTGAAGTAAGTTGTCTTGTAGTCCTAACAAATTAGAATATGAAAAGAATTATTTACTCATATGAATTCTAGAAAATTAAGTAATTTATATCAGATTAAATTTGTTAAAAAAGTATTGAATTTAGTCCCACAAAAAGAAGTTAAAATTTTTGCTAGTGTAGAAATATGAGTGATTGACTCTTATCAATAAGCTTATAAATTTGGGTCGGACATGGGTATGATCACTCATGTACCCCACTCCCTAATAATTACTTTATAATCCTTCACTCCAATGCTGCTTATTTAACTGAAGTTTATCACCGGATAACATTCTGAAAGTATGTTGCCAGCAAAAAACCCAATTGTTGATTAGATCATCTGAAAAGATAGCCTTAAGATTATGTGTACAACAAATAAACTTTGCAGCCTCTTAGTTATCGAACCAACTCCTATGGCTAGTAATATGTCCATGCAGAATAAATTATGCAAACTGAACTACCCTTTACAATTTAATATGACTAGGATAAGCACCTGACAAAATATTCGTTAACATTTAAAACGACAAAGTTCAAAACTAAAAATTTCATTATTGTATACTAAAGCTTTTTATACTCGAAAATTAAAATTTATGTTTCATCACACTCGGTTGTAAACCAGCCAAGTTTTATTAATGTTCGGCTCGTTTTAAATTTCTTCAGCTTGTGTTCAGCTCATAGTCGATTAAGCTCATGATTATTAAATTCATATAGGGCTCGAATTGAGTTCAAATTAATTCGAATTTAGCTCATTAGCTGGGAAATCACTGTTACAAGTCAACCGCCCACGGCTCAGCTCAACTATTGAGCATGTTTGAGCTTCTTTTAAAATGCGATGGGGAAGCCAATAACCAATCTTCTGATGTGGGACTAGTTTTTTGTTTTTTAATTTCTAAAGGCATATACATACCAACCAATTCTTAGGACAAATTGACACCATAACAAGATTGCACAATAATAATAAAAATAAAATTATGGGCATTTACATACATACCAATCAATTCTTATGTATTTACATGTGTACATGCATTCTGCATACCGCCAAATTCTGATGTATTTAAATATCTAAACCTAAATGCAAAAAGTACACCAAGAAACGATGGATTTGGAGAACTATAGGAACATTTACAGACATACCACCCAATTCTTATGTATTTACACATTAACATCTAAATTTGTTTTTTATATTTATAAAAATTAAAATTTAAAATTATTTCAAATAAACCACCATTTTAATTTTCATGTATTATTTATTTAATTGTTTATTTATTTCGAGTTAAAATGAGACGAACACAAATGAATAATCTTTTATTTGTATTCCACATATTTGTAAATCAAGCTTAAAAAAAAATATTCAAAAAAATATTCTTATTCTTGACAGCCCTATTGAATTCCTTAACGAATGAATCTCATACGGCCTACTTAATAAGTCAAACATCAGCTGTTCGCGGCCATATTTATTGACAGCCGGTAGCTAGAGCCAAATACTGCATGCTCACCCTGCAACGAGCAGGGCTGTCAAAAAAGCTCGTTGTTCGCGAACAGTTCGTGTTCGATTCGTCAATGAATTCGTGTTCGATTCGTTCGATAAGTAAACGAGACAAACGCGAACAAATTTTTTTCGTTCGCTTAGTTAAACGAATCAAACACGAACAGTAATGCGTTCGTTCGTGTTCGAATCGTTATTGTTTGAAATATAAAATAATATAAAATAATTATATATAAAAAATTTATTATATTTTAAAACATTAAATTTTATAAATTATAATATATAATAAAATAATAATAATAATATATTAATATACTATAGTAGTAATATACTAATATAGATATTGAATATTTATATAATATAAGTTATATAATTAATATATAATATTATTTTTATATATTAATATTAGGGATGTCAAACTGGCTCGTCGTTCGCGAACAACTCGTGTTCGGTTCGTTCGTTAAGAAACGAACACGAGCTTATTTCAAACAAACTAAATTTTAAACGAACCAAACACGAACACAAGCTTTGTTCGTTCGGGCGTTATCTTTTTGCCATTTTTCACGTTTGGATGCTTTTAAAGGCGGGGCAAACTTTGTTTTATTACTTTTTCACCTCCTTTTTTTGGAAGATTTATGTACATTTTGCTTGAATCCTAGTTATTTGCATATCTAACATGTTGTAACATAAATTTTTAAGTACAAGCCACCTAATCATTGCCCGAGACAGTGTTATTTACTTTAGAAAAACTATACTATTAATAATTTTATATGATATGAAGATTCGAGCCGTACAAATGTAAAAAAAATATAATTTAGGTGTTACATGTGTAAATACTCAGAAATTGACTCGTATGCATGTAAAGGCCCCTTTTTAAAATTGAGTTCAAGGGGGTAAAACAATTTTTTTAATCCATTGAAGCTGTTTTTAAAATTAATTTTTTTTTAATTATCATTTAAATTAATTGTCCAAATACTTTTTAATATTGATAATAAAAAAAAGTTTATTTCACAACTTCTGCATATTATTCTGCCTAATTCGACCAAAAAAAAAAATTGATAGAAAACTTTACAACTATTCCTACAAATTGAATTAAGAAAAAGGACATTTGCATACAAATCATTTGTTTTTGATTAAATTAGTTGAAATTTAAAATTTATTATTCAACACAATTTAATTTAATTGAATTCAAATTATTAAATTAGTTTTTTATTATAATTTTTAAAATTTATGTATTTGTATTTAAAAATGAAGTAAATAATTATTTTAATTATGATTAATTAATTTAATTTAAATTATTGATTAAAAATATTTTATAGCAAGAAAATAACTATAATTAAAGAGGAATATTTAGTTATTAATGAAAATAAAATCTCAAATAAAAAATAATTTTTTTCACTTGAAAGTAAAATTCATCTCACCACCTAAACTCAATTTTAAAAAATGGGCATTTAAATGCACACCACTCAATTCCTATGTATTTATCCATATTTAGCATCTAAATTATACATTTTTTACATTAATACCGCTCAAAACTTTCATATCATATAAAAAATACCACAATTTTAATTTTTAAAAACTAAATTACAATTTCTCATGCAAAAATTAAGTGACTTTTAAGTACAAATTTATGTTTAGACGTTATATATGTAAATAAATAGGCTTAAAGTGATGCACTTCTTCCAAAAAAAAACATGTAAAAAGTAATTAAAAAAAATGTCTGCTCAGCCTTTAAAAATTTAAACAAGAAAATGAGAAAAAAAAACGAAAACATAACGTCTAAATTACATGTTTCTAAATTGCAAAATCATAAATTTTACTTTTCGGCCACAAACAAATTAATATATATATATATATATATTAATTAAATAATTAGTTTTAAAATTTGTCCTACTTTAAAACAGATGCGTACTATATGTTTGTTATTTACACTAACCGCCCAGTTACCATAAGGCAATATATTTCAAACTAAAGAAAATCAGCAGGGTACCTCAATGCTGAACCTAAATAGCTACGCAAATTCAAAAGAAGGTTTTAATTTTCAATTTCACCAAAAGAAGAAAAAGAAATGCGGGCTTGAAGTCTGACCTGATAGCTCTCCTCTTCGGCCGGCAAGACGGAGTTCATTTATATACTCGCTCAGCTTGTGTAGTTCAAAGTTTGTGAAAATGTTTTCATAAAGCTTCAGTCCTTTCACCACGTTGACCTAACCAAAAATAAAGAAAACATAAACTTCAGCGAAAATTATGTCTGCAAATAGACCGAACGAAAATTGACAAACTATTATTTCCTACTGCATCTCCTATTGTGTTCTCAATATAGAAATTGTGCCGGATCATGTATAGAGGAACTCGCCATATGCCCTTTCACAGGCTCCTTTGCAACAAAACCTTTAAAAGTCTTGATCTTCTCAGGACGCACCACACATTCGTCATGATGCGTGCATATTTGATCATTCTCTGACAACGTTTGATGAAATCCTACAAGTCCACAAAATATTATCACGAGTTAATAAATCATATTTTTAAACTATAGTTGTTCTCACATACAAAAATTCACCTACTCGCTTATGCTCTATTACAGTTAAAATAAATTACATGAAATATTGACACCAAGTCAAATAAATAAATTAACAGAAATGATAAATTGTTCAATGCTTCAAGCCATAAATCGCGATGACTATAATTTTTAAAATTTAAACTTTATTATAGTCATATTATAGTCCTTGGTTCTATCCTCATTGAATAGATGTGGCACAAAGATGACAAATTGGACAACTCAATTGAATTTAGACTTGGCCCATGGTCATGGGCCAAGCAAAGCATCGAACTTGGACTCTCGGAAATAATCAAATAAAATATGTGGTTCACAAGGACGAATTGGACCGGAAAATATCGCACACGTGCCAGACAATGACTGAGACGAGTTTAAAACTTAAACACTATCACGTCTATTGTCCAGACATAGCTCACATTTAAACTCCGGACATAATACCTTTTCCACAAACATGAGTCCCTAAAGGGTCCATTCACGCATCCTGTGACCGAGGATCGGCAATAGAACGTAGAAGCGTCCTCTTTGTTTAATCCTAAAACAAGTTCTAATTCCTAGAAGAATTTCTCTGGCTCGAGAACACGAGTCGTTTGGTAACCACCTTCTCGAAGCTATGGGCAGCCAAGCGCGACCTCGGTGTTCGACAAAAGAAAAAAAATATTTGGTGCAGTTTGCTGGCGGTTCTGCCAATAAGAGAAGAGAGGGGGCCCCTCTCCTCTCTTGTTATCGGCGGGAGCGCAGGTGCACGATATGCACTTAATTTTTTTTTGGGACAAAAAGAAGAGAAAGGACATAAATGAAGCATATTATTGATTTTTCGAAAAAAAAATTTCGAAAAAATTGAGCCTAAAAAATAATAGGTGAGATTCAAATCCATAAAATTATGCTGAGAGAATACACCTTTAACATTATGCACCCAATAAATGCACAATGCCGACTAATGCTCTCATGGCCGCCAAACTAACCTTTGCTAATTGTAGCTAGTTGTCAACATACAAATAAAAAGAAAAACAAAGGAACGGTTTAGGTGCTAGCTGTCCGTGAGGAGGTCACGGGCATGAAAGCTCCGGCGGTCAGCCGGATGGTCATGGCCGTGCGATCCTTTCAAAACCGCCAAGATCGTCTCCGTTTCTTTGTAAAACAACAGGGCTAAATTAATATGAGGCCGCCCGCCGTGCTATTTGTTTTCCACTATTAGCTATGAATAGGAAGACATTTTTTAAGCTCCGGCTCTAACCTCCACTAGCAGAATTGCAGCAGTAAAGGGCCGGACGAGGGGAGGAAACGTTTCGGCATGTGCGGAAGCTCCAATATAATAAGCAAGTTTCAGATCTAAAACTCAGCATTTACAATAATATTGAAGAAAATTTATAAAGACGTCGAAAGAGGGATTCATTTTCCGTATAGATTAAAAATGAAGAAAATCACAGTATGAGGAAGAAGAAGAGGAAGAAGTGAAATCTGGATGAGAAATTTTTTGTCAGTATAAATTAAAATTTAAGAAACATCACAGCAGGAAGAAGAAGAAGAAGGGAGAAAAGGAAAATGACCTCCATCATCAACAGACTCTGCATCAACAGATTTGCCATCTCTTGCTAACTTACAATCTGAGGAATATGTGGAATATTCCTCCCCTGTTCCCTCCGAAATCTTTTGGGAAGATTGTTCCTCATCAAGAGACCTTCTCATCTCTTCCACGTCGATGGCATCAGGTCCAGTTCCCTCCACATCCCTTTTAAGAACCGGTGCCACAGCGGCATCACTCTGAGCTTCGGTGACAGTGGTGGGACTCAGGGGCTTGCGATTGCAGGTAACGAGGCGAAGTTCGTTGGTGACATCCGCAATGGAAAAAAAACGCTGCATATGTAGAACGGGGACCCAATTCAAGCGCCGGCGGTGGATAGCAGCGAAGACGGCATCATACTCGGAAGGATCGCCGGTGATCTGAACCAGGTGGGAGCAGAGCGAGTCAATGATTGCGTTCGCGGCTGCAAACTCGCCTCTGTACCACGCAATGATCGTGTCTCTCGCCACCATGTCAGGCAGAGCAAGCGCTGCAGGGGTTGCCGCCGGAGTCTTCGCGGCGATCGCTGCCGCTGCCATTAGCAATATCGTAGTCTGATTTCCCCGTTCTATCTCTCGACCTCTGTATCACTCCCTCAGCGCCTTCAGCCCCGAAGGAGAAACAGCCCTTGGGGGAATGAAATGAAGAAGGCCCGACCAGGGAGGCGGGTTTATAGCCGATGAGTTGGAGCGGGCATGGGTTTCAGCAGAATAAACAGCGGGGGAATTCTCGGTTTAATGCTGACGTGGCAGCCAGGACGTTTACGGAATTGACCAATTGGGCGGTGACCGGAAGCAGGGCGAACGGATCGACGATCAAGGCCGTCGATTGTTGGCAGTTTGTTGAGGCCGCATCTAATGGACCGTGTGTAGTCGTGTACAATGGGAGCATGAAAGAGCGGTCCTGATTTCACAAGAAATAAAATATCCTTTTTTTTATATATAATTGGGCATTTCTATACGTAGCACACAATATTTATGTATTTATAATTTTGGTATTTGATTTTCAAATCATTAATATCACATTAAAAATAATATTATTATCATATTTTAAAAATTAAATATATATTTTCATGGATAGATTAGAACCATCAAAGCGATATGTATGTGAATATCAAAGTTCGAGCAGGGTTTATATAGAAAGAAATTATACATTTTAGGGGGAGCAATTGCCCATCTCAACACAATCTTCTTTTGCCCGTGAGTATGAGCTTAGTAAATACATAATAAATGTGTGTTACGTTTATAAAATTCTCCTTTTTTTGTTAAAAAATAGCATGGGCATTTGATTTGACATTTTAATCCTTTAGCATGTTGGAATGTAATGGTTAGAAATAAATGAAGAATTTCAAAACATCGAATTCTAAAGCTTCTTATAAAATTTTGAAAATAAATGCTAATATAAACACAAATGAGGGTGGAGGGCGTGGCCATTGGAAAGGGAAATATCATGTGTTGCAATGACTATAGAGGAGTTGGTACTTTGTGGAAGCTCTGTTTTTTCAATTAGGAGACATATTCTACGCATATTCTAACCGAAGGAGCACACGGGCTCTGGGTCAGCGCTTTAGGAAACCTAGAGGAGAAATTTTTTTCTTCTTCTTTAGGAGAATAGTTTTTGTTTTTAATGTTTAATTCATAGTGAGATAAAATAATACATTTACTTTGATACTTATAAAATTTTATGTTTATCTCAGGATAAATAAAAAAAATTCAAATAGATATTCATAATGTGGAACTTTATTAAAAATAAATTGGTTTTAATGTTATGAATAATTTTTTTTATTAATTATCTCAAAGATGTTAGATTGGTTTTAAGATTAGTGCAAAATAAATTATAATATTTACCTATGTATTTCCTCATAACAAAATCAATTAAACGGTTGTGAGATTCATTCTAGTCAAATTTCGATTAGAAACTTTGAATCTAAAATTTTAGATGGAGAGAAAAGCAATTATCTACCCATCTTGAGTAGAAGTTCTTTTTGGATGATGGAAAAGAAAAGAAAAGATTGGGTAAAGTGCTTCTAGTATAAAATTTACTTGAATCATGAAATAAATAATAAAATAATAAAAGAACCGCTTGTAACGAGCGCAATTGTTAATAGTGGGTTAATTAGGGGTAGTAAATTAGCTTATGGTATTATCTTATATATCTAGGACTCATCATGGAGGATATCAAAAGGGAAACCAATGAATGGATCTCTTACCTGCTTACATCTAGTTTCTCGTTCTCCTCATTTTGTAAATTTGAACATCATGAAATTTTGAATATAAGATTGGCTTCTCAACTTTAGTATTCTTATTGACAATCTTGTTGTCATATTTCACTGCACATTAATAATTTCTTACTTCCATTCTCCTACTTTTCACATCAGATTTTCATTTCCATTAAATCTCACAGTCTCTCAGTCTTTTATTGAATTGGTTCAAGGATGCTCATGAACTCGATATAATAATTTCCATCCAACCATATCATGTATCCCATTGTCTACACAAAATCCATAACTGATATTTTTAAAATGCAACATTCACCATTTTTATGTTAATAATTTAATGAAGCCTCCATTGATTCTATCAAGTTTATAAGTAGACCATTAATTTTGGAGCTATTTCTATTAACTTAGCCTATAGTTTTGCATTTATTCTCATTGATTATAGAAAGTAGATTATCTCCTACATTCACTTTGCTATTTAAAGTAGCACTTCATCCACTGTAATTCTACCATTAAGACCTTTTCTCCAATCTCAACTAATATCCTAGTTCTCTATCCTACCAAGAACCAACAACATTCTCACCTCATGCAATTTTACTCAAAACTAACATAAAGATCTTACAAGCATTCTAAGCCTATCAACAGCCGTCATCACTTTGTTGAACATCATAAATGCATCCATCAAGATTCATAATGTTAGAAAGCCTATAATCTCCACTCAATCTTCATATTCAATATTAGCATTTACAAATATATGATTTTACCTTTCCATTGTTGATTTTATCTAAAAGACCTTGTGTTCACTATTGTCAGTTGAGATCGTTTCT